CCCGATCCATCTCGCGTGTCCTCAAATCGAAACATAGCAACAATATTTGGAAAAATAAAAAATGCAAGTCGGGAGAAAGCCCATATTCATCTGAGTTGATAGACGAGAAAGAAACCTCCCTCATGAGAACACATTGACCTCAGCATCGAATCAAGTTGGGAAAGAAGACGCAACTTCGCCTTGCTCGAAACCCAATGATTCCGGAATCTCGCGAGGAAGTCCTTCCGTTCCTCGTTCAGCGGCGGGGATGTCCAGAGTTTTCTCTCTCGGCCTCGTGAGCGTTCGCGTCTGTCTTGTTGAGGAGGGCGGGTTCAGGTCAGGGATCGCATTAAATTGCGCGGTGGAAGGGATAGTCGCGTGGAATGGAGGGTCGTCCGAGGATTCGCTCGAGCGTCGGGGATCTGCGGGGTCGGCCGCGGGGCTTGGGGATGGATGAGAGAAGAGTTGGCCGCGTTTCGAGCAGGATGTTCTGGCTTCGAGCAGGATGTTCGTTCGCGAGGGAGAAGAGTCGGTCGAGATGGAGGAAGGAATTTTTGGATCTGGGTTTGGGTTCTTCACTGTTGCTGTCGTTTTTGCTTTCAGTGTTGGGAGGTTCGCCGTCGTTCTTCCTCGCGGCATCTCTTACATTCGAGAGGCGGTGCTCACCTTCTCCATCCTTACTTTCTTTTTCGGGTGAGAGGTGAGGGAACGAGGAATGCGCTCTCTCTCTCTCTCTCTCTCACTCGCTTCTCTTCCTCTCTTTTGAGTGCCGAGTGTCGGCGAACTTAGATTGAGCTCGGAACGATTTGGAGCCATTGGGACTATTTTCGACGGCAGAGATACGAGTCGATTCTCTCGCATTATTTCTGGGTCGTGCTTTTGATATCCCTGTTCTCGACCAATTTCGTCTTCGTCTGTCGGCCCTCTGGGTCGCAGGGTCGCTCCGGACTCCATCGACAGGCTGACCGAGTTCGCCGCGTCTCGTCGCGTCCGGATCACGGATCGCGTCACCCGTCGGTCGGGCGTTTCCGATGGGATCGGGAAGTCCATCGGCCAACGAGGAATATCGACTCAAGTGGAAACAGTTCTCAAGGTCATCCCTTCTCACAAATACTTCAAACATGACTGGAAGGCCACAGGCGGCACGTGTTTTAGATGATCACAATCAGACGATAAAAAGGGGAAATTTTTTTCACAGAACGCGATGGACCAGAGCGGAACTTCAAAGAGGATTCAACAGCATAATATTTTTTTTTACTTCATAGGATTTCCACCGTTTGCCTGTGACGTTAGGTCCTGCACGGAAGTGAAACTCGCGATGTCAGGCGACGTTTCGCTTTCGCGTCCAAAACGCGTTTTCTCGGGGATTTTTGCCTCGCGAGACCGATTTAGACGCTCGGAAACAAACAGTCGCAATCGCAACAATTTCCTCATCAAGGAGACGAATTTTTCACAATTTTTTCGCCGTCGAAAATCAGCCAATAATAAAAACCGTCCTCGTCCAGCAAGGGTAGACCGACGACACAGACGAGAGAAGCGCAAGAAGCAGCGACCCTGCCGAATTTTAGACGGGACTGGTTCCTTTAAGAAAATATTGACTAACGCCAGGAAACGTAAAAAAATCTCTGGACGCTCGTTAACCGATTGAATCCGACACAAGACGAAAAATACGCGAGAATTCCTGATAACCCCGTGAAAACATATCTCAAATTTTCATTTCCCATTGTATTTTCAAAGAAAAAATAATTTTTTTTTTTAAATAAGTTTTCTTTTTTTTTCTTCCTTCTACCACAAAACGTTGCTTACAGTTGGGCATCCAGAAACTTTCTCCTCGTAATCTACTTCGGCCGTCCAGCTCTCGGCTTCATCTGAGATCTGGCGGATAAGATCTGAAACTCTAGTTTGCTTAGCGTCTCATAGATGGCGCGAGATGCCCGGGGGGGGTTTCCCAATATTATTCTTCCAACTGTGGTGACAGTTTTGAAAACAGAAAAATCGGGTCAAATGCGCCGACGTTCTAAAAATTTATTCTCCCGTCTTGACAGCATGAATACGGCCCAACTGCAGTTGGACATGTCTATAAAGACTTCATCGTGTTCTTTCGTCACCGATATTTCCAAGGAAAAAGAATTTGAGTCCTCGAGTGGCTCCAGGCAGTGACTAACTCGCCGTTCGGTTTCCGGCCCGCGTCGCACGTGTGTTCGACGAAGGCGCCGACGCGAAAAGCTTGAATTGTGAGAGAAGCATGCGATCGAAGCGCCGATTAAGTCCAAAATTTCCTTGAAATGTTTCGACATTGGCACATAATGCTTTCGATGGGGTTTAGCTGGTCATGCTCTGGAATGAGTCACGAGGGAGAAACTCGGCGGCGAAGGACATAGGGAGTCTTACCATGCTCATCCACGATGACATCTCGAGCACGTGTGGAACCCTTCCCCGAATCTCTTCATCCTGGATTCTGCACTACACAGTTCAATATACGGAGGAGAGATGGGGGTGGAGGAGGGACGGAGGTGAAATCGAATGCAGCCGGGCGACCAGAAAGAGGAAAGCAGATAGAATTGTTTTGTTTTCCTTGACCTTTCAGGCTCGAGGCGGTATGAATCTTTTCGTTCCCAGACACTTCGTAGGTCGCGCCCGTTCGGATTGCATTTCGACGAAGCCGATCCATTTCGGGGCGTCGCCGACGCAGCGGCATGGCGAAAGGGAATTGCAGTGAGATCAGACGAAAACGTCCGATTTACACTCTCCTCGAATTTTTCTATTGAAATTCACTGGATAAAAAAGAAATCATTATTACTATACCGATGGTCACTTTTGGCCGGTAGGCCGATGGCCGATTTTGATCTCGTGACCATCGACCGGTGCCGGTGCCGATAGTGGTCTGTAGATCGAGAAAGCGTGAAATTGCATACCGAGACAAATCGGCCCACTCGGCAGCCCTGTCTCGTCAGTGGCCGCCTGAAGATGTGAGACGGCTTTCAGGCCTGTCCAGCCTGTCGGTCTGTGCGTGTGTCCGTCAGCGGTTGGCTTCTTACCGGTTGCTGGCCTTTAAGTGCGTTTAACGACACGTATCTCACAGAGGCACAACGTGAAAGGAGTTGCAATCATTTCCCATTCTTTACCGATATTTCCCTCTGCCGGTTCTTCCACTCAGGCTCAAATATAATCTGATCGACATTTATGTCGGGGGGGGGGGGCAGAGGGGAAGGGGCCCTTGCCCCTACTTTGGACACCGGCATTGGCAGAATTGGAACTCTGCCAATGGCGCAAAACCGGCGATCGATAACGAGCCCGGTATGTTTTTTTTTTTGGTCACCCTGTAACTGATTTTAGTCCAAAAATTACATTTGGCAGGAAATATCTCAAAAACGCAAGACAGCAGGAAAAAAAAAAAAAACGGAATCCCATTTAAAAAAAAAAAAAATCAATTTCAAATTGAAGGTCCAAAAGCCATCTCTGTGATTTTCCGGTCGGTTGTTTTATTTTCGATCATTTTCTTTTGCTCACGGGGCCTCGAGAGGCGAAACTTCATTTGGGTTGAGCTCGAAGCATTTTTTTATTTTTATTTTTTATTGTTCGCTGATTCCTCCAATTGACACACATTCCTGTGGCACCCGATGAATTGTCACGATGAGACTGGCAAAATCTAATAATGTATTCCGAGTGCAACGACCGACCCGGACGCCGATAAAAAAAATTATTCTTCGTACATCCAGACTTGGTCCCACTTTGAGCGCCCGACTCGGCCGGACCGTGCAGTCTCGTAACTCTCGGTGGCTTCGATGTAAGACCGTTAATGTGGGCCTTTTCGAGAATGAGACCAAAAGGAATCTGGATTTCTGGACGAATGTGCCATTAATTCTGGGCGGTTCCGGCTCTTGCGCGGCAGCAAGAAGTGTGGAATCGGGTTCGCATCGGTGGGAGGATCCGAGGCATTAGGCACATGCGAAGAAGAGAAGCGCTTGGGCATCGAGGCGGGATGCAAAGAGTGGAAAAGCACGCGGAAATGCCGGGAGCGGGGTCGGGGCAGGGGGTGGGGCGGGGCGGGGTTGGGGCCGCGTCCTTGCTCCGTTTTTCCGAGGATTAATCGCCTCGCACAGGGATCGACTGCGAGTCACGTCGCTTCGCTTTCACGTCCCGTGGGAAAGCGTCCCGGAACTTTTTCGACTGTATCCGTCCAGTCCGTTCCGACTCGCTCCGCTTCGGTGTGCGCGGTGCCATTGAGAAAGGGGCAGATTCGACTCCAGCGGGGAAATCGATCCGCGCCGGTGTGTGGCCGCCTTAAATGCGAGAAGGGGGATTCACGAGGCGAGGGGGGGACCGTGATGGTCGAACGGATTTCCCGAATTTTTTTCAGGCGGTATCGGTTGCTTTTGACGGGATCGGGCGGAGTCCATGTCAAAAGACGAGAGAAAAAAAGGTTACGTGAGAATTAAGCATAATTCTTCCCTCCATTTACGCGTGCGACGTGGCGGTCCACCCGCCCTCCTTTTACTCTTCATGCTGCCTGGACGGCGTCGCTTTCACCCTTGCCCCCTGCCGTGATCCTGCACTCACGTGCATCCCTCAGGAGAATCCTCCTTTTTAGGATATCCTCCCAGGTGCATCCCTCGGGAATCCGCCCTCCTTCGAGACATCCCGATCGAAGGGATGAAAAAGTGAAAATGAAAGATGAAAATATGTCCCGCTCGAAACCGGGACATTTTCTTGTCTTGGCCGCGACGTCGCGGGACAGGGGGACGCACGATTTACCTGTCGGGACAGTTTCGGAAATCTGTCCCAGTTTCGTCGACCTTTCCGGCTCGGTTCCTTTCTTCGTCGTCTTCGTCTGTCGACAGCAAAATGATGAAAGTAGCCAGTGAGAATGAAAATGGTTTCATTAGACTCTCCAAGCATATCTCATTTGCATCATAATCTCAAAGTATTTCTGGTGTTCACTCGAGAATCCAAGCCACGGCCTCACGTCAATCATCTTTCCAATTGATCTTTTCGTGAAGAAATAATTTTTCTAATCGTCCTGTGAAGTAGGAAAGGACGAAGCTGGAATGAATTCTCGGGGAGAACGATGGAAATGCTCGAAGAAGAGCATCACGGATGCCCAGAATGAATGAACCGGGACTGCAGTGACACGTAATACAACATGCTTTATGAGAAGCCCAAATAAAAAAAGAAAAACATCTCAACATAAAATTTCTCTTCGATTCTGCGAATCGATATTCCTTGCACGTATCTCTGGTCTCCCGTCGGAAACAAGCAGTGACGATGAAGAAACACCTCTGACGCTTTTTAAAGTACAACAGACGTCACCGACTGCCTCCGACGAGCGAGTAACACATTTGGTATGAGAGGGTCAGAACGGGACATCAGGCTACGAAGGCGGATTATACCACGATCCGCCGTTCTTCATCGACTCGGGATAATTTAGCACCGACTTGTTGCTGAGGGAATGGAACACGTGGAACCCGGGCGTACCGTGGGAATAGATCTGGGGGGCATCGGGGGAGAACTGTCCCGGGTCCACGCCCGCACCGGGTACGAATGCTTGAGGCTTGATGGGCAGGACCTGGTCCGGCCCGGCACCCACCGGATACCCGCCTGGATCCAGGCATTCGCCCGGGTTCTTGTCTCTGGGGGACACGGACGAGGGCGGGGTCATCGAAGGGTTATGGTGCGATGCATGCATGTGCTCGTAACTCGCTACGCTAACGTATGGTGAGGTGAACGGGACGGAAGCGGCTGCAGCGGCCGCCGCGGCGGCCAACGCCAACTGGTGCTGCTGATGCTGGTGGTCGCTGCCGTTGTCCGCACTGCCCGGAGGAGTCGGGAGCGTCCCTGGAATGTCCTGGAGGTACAGACCTCCCGACCGAGACACGTGGATGTTCGAACGGATCACACTCTCCCGGCTGGCGTAAAGCTGCCGGAGTAAGGAAGTCGCGGGGAGGGTGGTCGCGGGATTCGGCGGCGCCCCCACCCACTGGATGGCGGAGGATCCGGAGGAGTTGGGGCTCCGGGCCGGGTCCTTGTCGCTCGCACTGAAGTCCACCGGCCCACCGGGCTCGGAGTCTTGCCACGACGAACCCCTGGTGTGGGGCTCGGTCTCCGACGAGGTCGGAGTGGACGCCGGGCTGCAATGGGGGTCATCACAGGTCATGCCGCGAAGCTTCTTCGCTTCCTGGCTTTCCTCCCTTCCGCTTCCGTCCTCCGACTGCCGCGAGCGCTTCCGGTTCTCCGCGTCCATCCGGGTTCTGAGATCCTCCGAGACACAGTGGGCTTGGACCGGGTTCTGCACGCATCACCATATCGACATACTGATTTCTTTCATTCCAGAAAATCATACCTAGCTAACGATGCAAAGGTTCGTTTCTAGTCATAAAGCACCGTGCCGAGAAAAGCCCAAAATTGAGAAGGCATGCAATTATTTTAGGAATTAGGATGGAAGTCGGATCACCGGCTTACCCTCGGCCGATCCTCATCACAGGGCGACAGGGGACTGATGGCACTCCTTTCGGCTATCAGACCTAAAAAAAAAAAAAAAAAGACAGAAAGTGAACTCCACGCTTCGACTTTCCTCCTTCGACGACGGACATGCGAATTTACAGCTCCCTACCTCTGGTATTGGAGGATCCGGCGGAATCGGGTCCTCGGTCCACTTTGGTATCCGATTCGGGCCGGGGCGGCGGCTCCTTGGGGAGGATGATCGGCCGCGGACCTGGCAACTGCCCCACGTCCATCACCAGCGACTCGTACTCCCTCCCGCGCCTGCATCGACACGATCGACGCTTTAAAAAACGCTCCTCCGACGGTCATCGTACCGATAATTACCGAGTCGACGTACCCGATGACGTAATTGATGCACGTGATGCACTGGTCATCGGTCCCTTTGGAATTGTTGATCACAGTGGCACAGGTCTGGACCCAAGAGTATCCGCCTCTTCGATTCAGGACCCGGTAGGTCGGGCTCATCACTTGCCCTTTGTGCATTACTGCCGGACAGCCAAAACAAATAAACACCCCGTCGAGCCTCAAGAAAAAAAAAAAAAACCATTTCCCCTTCGAAAGCAGACTCACAGTTGAGATGAAATCTCCTCAATTGGTTCATGTCCTCCGCGTGACAGATGGAGTAGAGATTGTAACCCACGAGCTCCTCAGGGGCGTATTCCAACAACTCCGTCACTCTGATGGCAATCAAAGCGTTTTCTCTCGTCATCGTATCCATAAGCACATTAAGGCATCGCTTTCATCATTTTCTTAATCACTCTCCTTAATCGAATCTTCACCGGTCAGCTAATTAGATTTTTTTCGATTTCGTAATTTTCCCGTTCTCGTACGAGACCGTTCCGACGAACGAATTACTTAAATTAAAAACCCTTACCGAGGCTCGCAGTGGATGATCTTGAAGTCATTGGAGACCTTCGTGACGAACATATCCGTCTCGAGCCGGACCTCGTGCATGGACGGGGGCGGCAGGGCGATGGCCACCCCCACCAGCCCCAGCACCGGCGGCGGGCTCTTCCGGGACCCCGACGACGCGAACGAGTATTGCGGCCGCAGGCGGCAGATCATCAGCACGACCTGCGACGGAGACGCGATTCGCGTGGATGTTAAAACGAAAACGCCTCGTCGATTGCACAGAGAATAAAAGAAAATGAGGTTTCCCTTCTCTCACCCTGTATCCAGAGGACTTGAAATGACATCCTCTCTTGGTGAGAGTGGATTTCATGCGGATGCAAATGATCCTCTCGAGACCCTTCCCCGATCCCACCGACATCCCTCCTCCTGCAAAAAAAATAAAAAAAAATCCTCCTCTATATAATTGAGTGGTCCCTGAGCATGACACACAGGAATTTTAAAAAATAAGACCGAGTCTGCTCGATATGATATTCCTTTATCGTCAGCCCGAGCCTTGAAAATTCCGTCCGTCATCTGCTCGCTCCACTCGCTTTGCTTAAAGGGAGGATTCACTTTCGGTGAAACTGAAATTCCTTCCGCCGAGTGTCTGGACAATCCGGTCCCCATTCGAGAACCATTACGTTATGAACCATTATGCTACGAGCCATTATGGTGTGAACCAATGCCTCGTATGAACTTAATCGAGCCCATATGGCGAGCGTCACCGATGTTCCATTTATAAACTTATTTTTATCAGATTTATTTATCTTTTACATGCACTGGGAAGGAGACAGGCAAGGACAAATGCCATCAGTGACAGAACAAGCAGTGCAGGAAGGGCGATCCTTATCGGACATACCCCGACGGCATTGCCACACCTTCCCACGTTCTGTCTCGTTTTCGCCGTCCCAGAGGAATGCGATGGGGGCGTGAATGCCTCACGCGCCGATGGAGCGCGGGGTGGCCTGTGATTGGCTGGGGAATGCTAATGCTGATGCTAATGCTGATGCTGATGCTGATGCTGATGCTGATGCTGATGCTGATGCTGATGCTGATGCTGATGCAGTTCCCAGTTTTCGATTGGGTGCCCGAGGAATTAAAGGACAGTTAAGCAAACTTAAGGAACCCATGGCTGATTCTCCGGAGTCTTCGGGATTGATGAGAAAAACTCAATCGTAGCTTTACCTCGCTTCTCCCCGCTCAAGGTCCAATTGCTCGGACGACATTGGCGAAGCGAAGATTTAAAATTGCCCGAATCGTCGCATTCAGTTTCCTCAGAGGAAGCGAGTTCGGTTGGACCCATATTGATGACTGGAACTCCCTTCACTTAATGGTGTTCGCACACGGGTCCGTGAGGCATGAGGGCACGATGAGGGTCGCGATAAGGGACCCTCGGTCATCTGTTTCAGTCATCAGGGAAAAAATGTAAAAAAGCGGGCGCAATTGGGAAACACCGCGCGTGCGAGCCTGGAGACCCTAACAACTGGGCCACGTCGACGAGGCTTTTTCTCTTAATTACTGCCTTCGTTTTCTTCTTTTCTTTGCACTCCGGACCTTTTCTTCGGCCCGGGGAGGCAGTATTGATCCGTCTCGGGCGCCGTCCGAAAGGCACGTATTGGTTTATCTAATGCGTTATGCATGGAGTTCTCCCCTTCAGAATCCAGTCGTGAGAGCCCACCAACGACACCCCCCCCCCCAAAACCCCGCTCCCACGTGACCCCCACGTGGCCCCGGAGCCTCACCTTCAGGTTGCGGCGCAGGAGACGAGGCGGCCGAGGTGACGCTGGTCGCATCGTCCGAGCCAGACCCGCCAGACGGCGAGGCGAGGGTCGGAGGGGGATTCCCCCCCGATTCTCCGCCGCTCCCACCCCCGCCGCTTCCGCCTCCGCTTCCTCCGCTTCCACCACCGCTTCCCCCCAGGCTGATTCCAAGATGCTCGGCCAGTTCCGCCTGGTCTGCGGCGTGGATGTAGTCGAAAACGCTGCTCCCAGTCATCTCCACCTTTAAATATGAAAAAGCGCCAACATAAAGCATATCGTCCGTATCATATTAATTTATTATGTTAATAAAATAGTGCTTCTAATGCAGTACCTGAGAGAGGCCGAGGTAGATAGATACGGTCTCTGAGATATAGAGAAATCTGCCGTCAGACGCCAGGGCAAAAGCGAAACCGTCTAAACTCTGCAAGGAAAAGAAACCGATGATTGAAATCTCGATACGTTCAAATGACATATAGTGAAGATTCTTTGGGGGAAAATAATATTTTACCTGCAAGATGTGAGTGCCCTGATGTTGCTCGAAGAGTTCCATGGCCAGCGCAGTCGAGGATCTCGGTCGCACCGGGGCCCCTATCCATGGAAAAAAAATAGAATGAAAAAATCAATGGGAAAAAATTCTCATTCCTCTCTTACTCGTCGGGCGGACTTCATTGAAATACAGGTCGCGTGATGGAGAGGGAGAGAAGTCATGCAAGGGGAACGGGAAAAAAAGACTGGAAGAAAAAAAAATAGCCTAGGCCCCTCATCCACGGTCGTTTCCAGTCGGCTGGCTTCATTCCTCCTGACATCCGACAACTCAAGTCCATCAAATGAAATCCGCTGGATGTGGGAGCCGAAAAATGTATCGAGGTTTTCAATCGCAACCCATTCCCATCGGCGGCGGGAGATGAATCGGGGGATGGTCGGCGTCATCCATCAAGATCTCGATTCTTTTTCTCCATTCTTTCTCTATTCTTCGTCGGCCGTGTGTCTTCGGGATCAACCGGGATAACAGGAGAAGCCTTTCTCCCGGCCTGTTTTTCTCTCTCTGGATTAACTCGCTCTCTTTCCTCGGCGTAATGAGGATACAACTCCATTAAAAGCCGCCATCTGATATGTCCGGGGCGTGATGACCGAATAATGATCCCTATCCCATTTTCCCCCTCCACATTTATAACGCTAACGGGAAGGGTTTCCCCGGCTTAGCCGTCGATGCTCGCGGCTTAGGGCCGCGAAGGGAAAAAGCCATCGAGTCACAATGCGAAAATTGCGCAAACGATGCGACGAACACGAAAAGTGAGAAGGGCGTGTCGGAACGCGGGGACAACTCGATGGCGATGAAAAAATTTCGGATGCCAGCCGATGACTCACGTTCATTAAGTGTCAAGCGGAAGTGCGAACTAATAGAAATATCTGGGATGGATTGATGAAACCATTAAGCGCATGAACGAGCGGGTGATATCCCGGCGTGGAATGCGAGAGCCACGCTTAATGCACGGACATGTCGGCACGAGAGGCATCGAGAGAGAGAGAGAGAGGGGCCCCGTGGTAATGAGTCATTGGCGATAATATCCCCTGGGCGCAAGTCCTTATCTCTAATTGGATGCAAACGAGCCTCACTGTGAGAAATCCTCCTGTCATCCTCATGTCCATTTTCCTCTGACCTCCTCACCTCCTCCTCCGAGGTTGTGCATCCACTCTATTTTTCCTTTTCCCTTCGTTTGTCGTCCGGGGGGGGGGGACAGGGGGGAGGAAGCGAAGAAGGAAGTGAGGAAGGCAGCGAGGAAGGAAAAAATTTAGGGATTGACTTACAGTTTGATGTAAGGAATAATTGTATTGACGGGCTCTCAATAGGATTAGGAGGTAGGGGGAAGGGAAAGAGAGAGGGGGAAAAGAAGGGACGGATGATTAGATTTCGGTTGTGTGTATGTGCGAAATCGATGGGTCTTTCGCGGACGAGTCCGGTTAATCTTTTGACTGGGAGGATGGTTGGGAGGATGGTCGGGAGGATGGTCGGCCAATATTTGCCGCCCTCGTGTCATATCCCATTAAGTGGACACCGGAGGAGGAAGACATGAGGGATGGCTCAATATTGCCCTGTCGGCGGGGCCCGCTCTTCATCACCGGGGAAGGGAGATCAACCGGATGACCACAGATGAACACAGAAGCCATCGACGCTCCCTCTGTTACGGCGTTCTGAGTCATCATCGAGACTCGATGGAATTTTTGCTCAGGGTTAAGGACTACCTTGCTGAGGATGTCAATTTAAAAGTTGACATCCTAAGCAACTTAAGCAATTTGTCGAGAAATATATCCATTTTTGACAGCATTAAGCGCCCCCCCTCAAAAAAACAACTTGCTTAACTTAATTATCGAGAACGCGCTGCCTGTGATCTTAGTGGAAACGTGCCAGGTAACCCTTGCGAACCACGAAATTGAGCGACACAAGCATTAATGTGTCTAAATGGCCGAAATCCATTACTTTCCGCAAAAATGTGACTGGGGGTTGGAAATTTCCCGTAAATTCATGTCCGTGTCCGTCCTGAAGCATTTCGTACAATTACAGTGTTCTCCGATGAAGCTGCAATTAAAAAATGAAATTCCATCTGCGGCCACTCCGTCCGACCGTAATCAAAGAGTGGATCGTATGTACTTAGGATCGGCATTTTCCCCTCGAAAAAAAAATGTGGAAAACGGCAGATATACGACCTGACAGAAGCGAAGGACGGCCCATGAGTCGTGCCCCATGGGGAATATCTCCTCCTCTTGGGACGAAATTAGCGGGAAAGTCACCCGAAAGCATGCGAAAGACAATCGACTGCATCCTTCAGGATGAAATTCCGGCGGAACTTCCGCGATCCGAGCATTTTCCCGGCGCGGCGTAATTGACGGCTACGTCGATCCCGTTTAAACGGAAACGGAGAAACGGAGAAACTCTGACAGCTTCGTTTAAAAAAAAACGAAGCTGTCAGAGTTTCTCCGTTGCCAGTCCCCTCACGTTGGAGACTCCTTCGAGGCCACGAAGAGAGACCGGCGGCAGCTCGGGAAACGATCGCGGACTGGCAACTGTTGCCACAGACGGCGACTCCCCGGATCGGAGAATACCCCCCAACGTGCGAGAGACCAGAAGGCCCCATCGGACCCCGTCGGGTCCCGTCGAGCCCCGCCGTTCGCCGGCGCGATGACAAATGGGGCCGACACGCCTCCGCAGGGATGCCGGATGCATCGCACCCAGCGCCGCAGGGATGCCAGATGCATCGCGCCCGGCGCCGCAGCCGGGAGCAAGGAGCAAAGCACATAAAAGGCGATTCCGTCGGTTTCTCTTCGTTCTACTCGAAAAGGCAAACAGCCGAACTTTTAATTTGCGGCTCGGCCATCGCACGTGGACGGCTCTTCGAGTTTCATGCGAGTCGCGCACGGAATGCAAAGCAGGATCCCAACATCCCTGTTAGGGGAACGGATTCGGCAACCCTGCTCGGGGAAAGCCTTCGAAAGCGGCCGTCACTGACGCCATCAATCTGGCTTCGGTCGCATCCGCGCGAATTTTCGAATTTTCGGGTCGCAGGAAAAGTTTTGTCGCGCTGGCGATCGAACCTTTCCTGAAAGTTCCGCGAAAGTTCCGCGAGACGCCGAAAGCCTCCCGAGGAGCCTCGCGGATGCTTGTAGGGAAAAAAATGGCCTGAAATTTTACAAAAAAAAGTCCGGATAATCCCGCGTATTAGGCTGGAAGATTAGCCGAGATGAGGGAATTTCAGTTTCCGTTCGCGGTTCTCAATTCGGGACTTAATCCGAGATCATCCGGTGAATCTGATCGGTCTTGCAGTTAAAACTCGGACAAGCCAAAACCAGACTGCGGTATAAAAATATGTTGTATAAAAATGTCCATACCATCTTTAGGGGGAAACAAACAAAGAAAAACCTCATTAAAAGAGAGTAAAAAAAAAATTCGAAAAAAATACTGATTTAATGCCACCGCATTCCTGAAATCCGGTCGAATCAACGAGACCACTCTCATTAAAAACACGGACAGACCCGCCGATATACATTGCGGTAACCCCATTACGAACCCGGGGTTAAAAATGTGAGGAAAGAGCGCGTAGGAGTTCCGCGCTGGCAGGCCGACAGATAATGGAACCTGATCCTGGCCGGACCCCGTCTGCCGTTTCAAGGACGGCTGGGTCCCTCTCCGTAATGGATTTTGGATGTTCTCTTTTATCTTTATTTGGTGGTACCTTTTTGCTTTAGGTCGCGGGGGGGGGGGGGGGGGGGGGGGGGGGTT